GGGCTGGCTGGCATGTGGTGCTGGGGATTGAACCAAGGTCCCTGTGCTTTGCTAAACTTGTTCTAAGTAGGTGCTTTAGACCACTGAGCCATCTCACCAGCCCCACCACACACTCTTAATCCCAACATCACACGCTAGATCCAGCCAGCTCTGAAGAGCCCCACTTATGAGCTCTGAGCTTTGGGAGACCTCCAGACACAGCCATAACACAGCTTGGGGCAAAAATGGAGTCAGTCCCGGAATGGCCCGGGTAGCCCATGCTGTTAGGGACACGGCCTGTGTTTCTGCCGGGAGCAGGCTGCTCTCATATGCTATGACTGCATCCAAAGCAGCGTGTGAGGGGTCCAGGGTGGAAACTGCGGGCTGGTTAGCTCTCTAGCAGGAGAGCGGGTGCCTCTTTGTGTTGTTGGAGAGGAGGCAGCACCCGAGAGCTGGGCGGCCGTCCTGGTTCGCGCCGTTCTGCCTCGCGTTCAGGACTCTTCCTTCCACTTTCGTTAGTTGCAATGACCTTTTGTTTTGGACACTATTATTTCCTTTCTCAGTTTTTTAAAAATAAGGCAGAAAATTATTTTACTCTGAGGCATTAGCACAGTTCTCCCTTTGCCCCAGTGAAGCACTGTAGCAGTGACTTTAAAAAAAATGTTCCCAGGGCCCCTGGAAGTCCCATCCCCACCCCGTCCCTGCTGTCCCTGCCCTGGCCTGGCCTGGCCCCTCTTCTGGAATCCAGTCGGGCGGTGCTTTCACTGCCTAGACCCGCAGATCCTGGGTGCCCCAGGGGAAGACTGCAGGCTCTTGGTGACAGTGCAGAAGCACTTCCTTCTTTCTTTTTCATCTTTCAGGGGGCCTGGCCCTAGCTCAGTCCTTTAAGAGGCTGCTTCCACAAAGCTCTCAGCCTCAGGTTGCTGGAGTTCGAACCTCACAACTCTCCCGCTGGCCAAAAGGGCCCTCGAAGGCATTCGAGGAACCAAATAAAAAAAAAAAAAAACAACAACTCTTTTTCATCTTTAATTCATTGAATTTTTTTTTGTGATAGGCTCTTACTATATAGCCCGGGCTGGCCTCAAATTCGAGACAGTCCTCCTGCCTCGGCCTCCCAAGTGCTGGGATGATGGGTGTGTGCCTCCACACCCACAGAAGGGTCCGCTTTTGAAGTTAAGCCTGCCCCATGTTTTGCTATTGGCATGTTGAGCTGTGCAATCCGGCGCAGGTCAGGGGCTGTCGTGACTGTGGGCTTCTTGATCCCCAGTTTGAAGAGGTGTGTGTGGCAGCTGCAGGGGACCCCGGCAGCCCCTTCTGTGGGTGGTACTCCGGCCTGTGACCATGACGTCTTGCTGGAGGCCATGCTGTCTGCCACTTGCCGGGAGGCCTCTGCTCCGGAGAGCACACCTGGGTCACTGCCGCTTTGCCCAGGGCTGGGGCAGCCGTGGAGGTGGGACGGTGGGGCCCTCTGCCTGTGAGTGTCCACGGCCCTAGGCTCCCCTCAGTGACCAGAGTCCTGCTCAAGGCTGCCTGCAGAAAGTGGCTTCCTAAGAGCACAGTCACCCATGCTGCTGTAGAACATGTCTCAGGAATTCTTAGTCAGAGGCAGCTTACACGCCTTTGAGAAGATCCGCTTGGGGTGGGTGGGCGAGGCAGCACTTGGCGGCTGCGGCCGGCCGGAGGTTCCCCAGCGTGGAAGTCAGCTTGGGCTGCACTGTGAATTCAAGGCCAGCACGAACCACGAAGACCCGGAAAGCCAGAGTGGGAAGAGGCAGGATCGGCCTCCAGGAGGGGTGAAGGGCGTGGGGCTCTAGCGCAAAGGTTGGCGCCGGTGTGGGATTGGTGGAGCATGAAGGGCTGCTGGTGGCCATGAACCTGGGCCCCTTCCAGAACTGGCCCTGCTGCACTTTGCTCCGGAGGCCTGGGCTCTTGCGTCGCATCCCTGCCCAGTAACCCCCCTCGGCCATCGGGGTCCTCCTCCTTCTGTCTCCAGCTCTGCCAGGCCCTGTCCTGCAGTGACCTCTGACCTCTCTCTGCTTCTCTCCCCAGGACGAGAGCAGTTCCACGGCTTGGGCTCCATGTACTGCCGGGGCGCGGCTGCCGTCATCCTCACCTACGACGTGATGCAGCCGCAGAGCCTGGTGGAGCTGGAGGACAGGTTCCTGGGTCTGACGGACTCAGCCAGCAAGGACTGCCTGTTCATCATCGCGGGCAACAAGGTGGACCTCACGGAGCAGGGCGGGGAGGGGGATGGGCACGGGCCCAGGGGACCCAGGCAGGTGTCGCGGGAGGATGCGGTGGCCCTGTACAAGAAGATCCTCAGGTACAGAATGGTGGACGAGAAGGCTGCTCCAGCCGCCGAGCAGATGTGCTTCGAGACCAGCGCCAAGACCGGCCACAATGTGGACCTCCTGTTTGAGACCGTGTTTGACATGGTGGTGCCCATGGTCCTGCGGCAGAAGGCAGAGGAGCCAGTGGAGACTGTGGACATCACAAGCCAGAAGCCCCCCAAGCGGACCCGGTCTGGGTGCTGCACCTGAGCCCCCGTGGGGCTTCCTGGGCACTGGGAATCAGAGGTTGCACCGAGGCAGAGTGGAGGTGACCACTGTTCACTGGGGCCATTGCACATCGGGGCTGGCTTTGGAGCCAGGGCACCCACGCCATCTACCCCATGCCCCGGGCTTCCCCACAGCCCCAGAGTGATGCCCGTCCTTGCACTGTGGAGCCTGTGGTTGGGGCAGCTGTGTGGCACCTGTGTGCCCACATGTCACCGCGCCTGGCAGCACTCTCCCTTGCTGCTATCTTCACCGTCTCCACGCCGACTCGTCCTGGGTCCTCCCCAGCCTCGGTACTTGGTGCCTTAGGATGGTGCTTCTGCGCATCTGATTTACTCGCAGCAGGCACGACTTTTGCACTGGTGGAAGCAGTGTGGGCCTGAGTAATATTAAAACTGATTTTGGGAAAATCCTGGTGTAGAGACTGCTGTTCATGCCTCTGTCCTTGAAGTAAGAGGACAGAAGGTGCCAGGGTCCCCTGGCACGGGGCTGGATGAGTCCCTCTCCTTCCTCTTCTCTCCTGTCCTTCCTTGTTCTCACCCTGGGAATTGAACCCAGGGCCTTCACACTGAGCCCCATCCGTAGCCCTTTTACCCTTTTTATTTTGAGACAGTGTCTCTCTAAGTTGCTAAAAGGCCCAGGCTGGGCTTGAACTTACAATCCTTCTGCCTCAGCCTCCCACAGTGCTGATTCCAGTCTATAAATCCCTGTATCCTCAGATATTTTCTGGCTGATTCACCCTCTGCTCCGAGCACCCACAGCTTGTGCACCTGGTTGGACGCGGGCCTGGTAGCTGGGGTGCATGGATGGCATCAGCTCCATGCCAGCATTCTGCCCTGGGCTCAGAAACAGGGTCACTACGGGTTCCTTCAGGCCAGGGCGCCCGGCAGCTGGCACTGCAGCTCGACCTGTGCCTTCCCCTGGTCCTCACTGCGCTGGGGTAAGGCACTGTCCCTGGTAGATGCCGCAGCTGGCCTGTGTGATCCCCAGGGAGACGTGGATGGGGCCCTGGACCCCTGGACTACTGCTCTGGCTGGAGCCCAGCTGGACTGGGGACCCCTGCTGGCCTCCCAGGAGTCGGCGGTCCTTGGGCAGTGTGGCTTGCGCAGGGCTCTCTGGCCCTGAGACGGTGCCGATGCTCCCGCTCCTCTGTGTGGTCTTAGAGCCTGTATCGCGCATGGGTACACATGTGCCCTGGGCTCCTTGGTAGTCTTCAGACAGATAGGAAGCCTGTGCATACATTCCCACACCCGCAGCACCACACTTCCCAAGCGGGCAATGCCGTTGTGACACTGGTCTTCTTGTCACAGCTGAGATCCTGGCTCTCAGAGCAGGAAGGTGGGCGTGGGGGGTGGGGAGGGACAGTGTCTCTGCGGGAAGGACAGCGAGCTGATCTCTGCCCTCCCGGGCTCCTGAGGACGTGGGACACCAGAACTCCCACCAAGGGCAATAATGGACCACGGTGTTTGGTTTCCATGGTGTTGCGCAAGACCTGGGGACCACACGTGTTAGGCAATCCTCCACCACACAGCCAGGTCCCAGCCCATTTTCAGGTTGTGAGACAGTCTCACTAGGTTGCTCATGCTAGCCTGGAAGTCGCAACCCTTCTGCCTCCGCCTCCAGAGTGCCTGGCTTACGGTGTGCATCACTGGGGTTGCTTGTTCTGTGTGGTGTCCCAGGGAGATGACCCTGCTCTGAGTCCTGTCCTCTTGCCAGCCCTGGGCTCTCCTGGACCTTTGCAGGAACCCAGTAGATCTGTCCCTTCACTTCCCTTGGGAGTCAACAAGCCCATTGCTTGTCCCTTGTGGAGGAGGAGGCCCTGAGGCCCTGAGCACAGACAACACCTTGGGGGACAGGGAGGCCCCAGAGACCCTAAGTCTCCCAGGAGTTCCCTAGGTGGTGCCCTGCACTGAGACCGCCCTGCCTGCCCATCTCCCAACCCCCACTGGCCCGCCCCACCCCTGGCCCCACCCCTCATCATCCCTGTCCCTCCCACTCTCCCCTGGCCCCGCCCCGGCTGGTCCCAGGACTGAGAAGCGGCTTAGTTGCGGGTGCTCGTGCTGGCTTTCCGTGGAGCTGGGAGCTGCTCAGACTGCAGCGCCGCTGGATTCCGTAGCAGTCACACAGACCTGGAACTGTGTGCTGCATGCTGCTGGCAGCCGTGGAGCTGAGGTGTGCCAGCCTTGGAGCAGGTGTAAGGCCCGGCGTCCAGCCCCATGCTGTCCTAAACGCCGGGCAAGGGAAGGCATCCCAGGCAGGAGATGAGCCCACGCCAAAAAGCATCTGGGGCACGTGGGTTGACGGCTGTGACTTGGGGACTGCCTCTGCCGCACAGCCCGGCCTCTGACCTGCTGGTGTCCATCTTCCAGGTTCCTGGACTGCCCTCGGCCGGGTCACCCCTCATAGGGCAGGACTCCCGAGGGTCCGCCTGCAGCAGGGTGGGTGGTGGGCTGCTGTGCAGACTCCTTGGGTCTGGTAGGGCTGGGTGCCCGCGCCCTCCTGTGGGCTCTGCACTCCTTGCCTGCGTGCTCTGCTTAGCTGAGGCAGAGGCAGGTTCCTCAAGTTCCCCTGTACGTGGTGGCCGGGCTGGCAGGGGTGATGCTAGGTGCAGGGCCCCAAGGGTGCCAGGGGTGCAGTTGATGCTCAGCAGATGGGAGCCCAGGAGTCAGCAGCCAGCTCCCCCGGGGAGGGGGTGCCCTTCGAGACTGCCCCCTCACACAGCCAACAGAGCCAAGAACCGTGTGCATGGATGGTGTGTGTGTGCGCGTGCGCATGTGTGCGAGCGTGTGCACGTGTGGACCCACTAACCCCTGTGTATGGGGTGCCATCTGCACCCATGTTAGCTTAAAAATAAGATTTTGAGTTTTATTTATTATATTTAGCACTGGGAATTAAACATGAGGTGTTTGCACTGAATCAGACCCCTACTTCCCTTTTTTTGGGGTGAGAGAGAGAGAGAGAGAGAGAGAGAGAGAGAGAGACAGAGTCTTGCTATGTAGTTCAGGTGGACCTTGAGCTGACTGTGTAGCTCAGGTTGGCCTTGAATTTGTGGTAATCCTCCTGCCTTAGCCTCCCAAATGCTGGGATTATATGTGTATGCAACTGTGCCTGGCTCCCCAATGCTGTTTTTGTTTGTTTGTTTATTTATTATTATTATTATTGTATTTTAGGGAAGGGTCTACAGGGTGTTCAGGGTCTCACTGCTAGATCGGATTTGTAGTGATCCGCCCGTTTACAGCCTCCCAAGAGCTGGGATTACGGGTGCACGCCACCATGCCCAGTCTCAGTCCCAATCTCAGCATGCCAGACTTGGGGTGGGCAGCATGGCAGGCCCGTGGATCGAGTCCCCGGCACCTGCGCCTGCTTGCAGGCTCTTTAATCCCTTAGGTATTTGGCCAGTCCTATTATTATTATTATTTAAATTTATGCATTTTGTATAAGGTCTCACTATGCAGCTTGGACTAGTGGTGGTCCTCCTGCTTTCAGGCTCCGCAGCGCACCACCACACCCAGTCTCGCGGCCAGCTCCGTGTGCTGGGGCGGGGCCGGCGGGGCCTGTGGTATCCAGCATAGAGCACAGGTTCCTGAACTTGCCTGAGCAGGTGCTTAGTCCTCTGAGCTATCTCGCCGGCTAACTCTGTTTATTTTTTTTAAGAATTCAACACTGGTTGCTGTACTGCATAATGTTGTCATCAAATTAGTTGTTCAGATTACCAGATACAAGCATGCAAAATTAGAAAAAAAGGTTAAAAGAAATTTAAGAGAAGAAAAAAATAAAAGAGAAAAATTTAAGCATTGACTGCTCCCCTCAGTAGACCGACAGATACCAGCAGTACCGTCATTCAGGCCACCCTGCTTACATACATAAATACATCTTTCTCCCCCTTCCCTTCCTCTCCTGTCCTTGTCCTCATCCCAGTTTTTCCTTCCCTTTGAGCAGATTCTTTCCCCTTCACAGTATCTATGGTACCCCTCTGATTTTATTTACTCTTCCAGGTTCTTAGAGACAAGATGATGTTTGCAGGTTTGATTTATTTCACTTATGAGTATGGTCTCTAGTTGCCTCCATTTACTTATAAAATCCTCAAATTTATCTTTCTTTATAGCTGAGTAGTACTCCATTGTATAAAAATGCCGCATGTTTTTTATCCATTCCTCCGTTGATGAGGACTTGTGTTGCCTCCAAGATTTAGCTATGACAAGTTG